AAATTTATAGGGATACAATGGGATCACAAAGTCTATTATTTGACCACAAAAACACCCACCTCTACACCCGCGGGGGACGGGGGGAGGGAGGAGCCAAAAAATCTTAAATGGCATATGGAGTTGAGTGAGGGCTCGTTCGAAAGGGCTTTCCGAGACGAAAACAACGCGAGGTCGCCGAGGTCTCTACGATTTTTTTTCGCAGGGTTATGATCATTTGAACATTTCTATTGAGATTTTGCGATAGCGAGGACCCACGGCGACAACAGAAGAAAGATAAAGCTTCAAACGGGCACGCGCGTTCGTGAGTGTGTGTGTGTATGCGCGCGCGCGCGTGCGTGCGTGCGTGCGTGCGTGTCCGGCCAACCAAGGCAAGACCGCTAGCATGTCCTGCCAACTAAGGCAAGATCGGGATGGGAACACTGGTGTATGTGAAGGAATAAAAACACTAATTATTTTATCAAATGTTCAAATTGATGTCCTTCGACAACTTGGCAGTTTCCTAAGCGAATGTACAACGTATCGATAACGTTAGTTAAAAAATTGGGTGTGATTGAATTTGAAACGTTCACTCTTTTTTCCCGCAGCTCTTCTAAATTTTTGGACCTAGTCTCATAGGCCTTTGTTTTCAAATACCTTTTACCAGTAAAAGAAGTCTAATGGGGTCAGATCTGGTGATCTCGGTGGCCATTCTATTGTACCTCTTCTACCAATCCATCGATCAGTAAAAACATCGTTGAGAATATTTCGAGCTTAAAATCGCAAACAAAAAAGATAGTTAAATCGGCGGATCAATACCCATCTATAAACAATTGTATCGCAATAATAATGGTTGCTTAGACATCACCAAGATATCGTAAGTACGTCTTCCTCAGGATGTCAAGAATTTTTTAAAGATCGCATCTCCCCGATTGGCAAACCAGGAAGCAACCGAATCGTTAAGTACACAGAACTTTTGTCAGTACGCATCCTGGAATCACCAAGGTGGAGAGAGCTTAATATAGGTTGTGTAAAGAAAATATAAAACTTAAAACTCATGTAAGTCACTTATTCAGAAACCAAAACAATAAATAATGTTGAGTGGGTCAAATTTATAAAACCATAAATAAATATGAATTAAAAAAGTTAAAAAAGTTAAAAAAATTAAAAAAATTTTGTCAGATTAAAAAAGACGAAAAAAGACCTTTAAAAATGACAAGAAATGATGAAAGTGTGGCGTCAGTACCTTAAAATATCCTGGTATACACGCAGTCAGACTAAATGGACCATCCTTTGCGAGATCCCACAATAGACTGACAAACATTACGCGGCGAGACGACAATGTTCGGAGTGACAAACAACCGTTTGATTGTTATAGTTTTGACATTTTATCGATGACGGTCATATACATATCTGGTAAGCATTCTGTGTCTGTTTGTAAATTAAGGCTATTTACTTGTCTTTTTATGAAAATCATCTCTGACAACAACCGTTTTTGGAGAAACGGTTCACTATCTAATATTTCCACCTACTCCCAGTTAAAGTTATGGTTAAAATTTGTCCTATGATCGGTGACAACTGAATGAACCGTGGTGTTGCGATTTATATGATTCCGGTGTTCAGAAATCCTTTTTGTCAAATGTCTACGTGTCTGTCCTACGTAGGAAGCATCGCAATCCAAACAATTAATCTTTTAAGCAGAATCTGTATAATAAGGTTGATGTTTTTTAAATGAAACTTGGGATGAGACAGTAAAAATGCTCTATCTAAGAGACCAATAACCGTGTCTCTTTTCTGACAAAGTGGATGTTGAGAAAGAAAATTCAAATATCTGCCAGAAAACGTCTCCTTATAGTACCAATCATAAATAATGCGGTTATTGTCTAAATACATTGTTATGTCCAAAGAATTTAAGCTGTTATTTACTCCGGTTTCGACTGTAAATTGTAATCTTGTGTGGAAAGAATTGAAAATGTTTAGAGTATAGTCTATTAAATCTGAGGAACCGCGAGAGCCACATCGTCGACATATCTAAAATAAAAAGATGGTGTGAATTTCAGAGTTGAAAGGGCTCTGTTTTCTAAATCTTGCAACACTATGTCTGCAATAATAGGCGACAACGGTGAGCCCATAGGTGTGCCAAATGTTTGTTGGTAAAAAACTTTATTGAAGGTGAAAAAAGTAGAATTCAAGAAAAATTCGATTGCTAGTAAGAATTCATCTTTGGGGATTTCACAATTCTCACATACAAAATCCCATCTTTTTGATACACTATCCATTGCTGCATCTATTGAAATGTTCGTAAACAACGAGATGACATCTAGTGAAATCAGACTAAATTTATCAGTTATTTGTATATTTGAAAGTTTTCTATTATTTTATTATTTCGCTATTTTATTATTTCGCTAAAGATTTTATAAGAATTATTCATGATATCTAAATATCGCTATTTTGAATACAACTTACTTAATAAGAGAATATTTTCTTAATGATATCACCGAAACAACGATTGAAAAGTAAAATAAGTAGATTAGATAACACGTGAATAATTTTGATCCAAGATTATTGTGCCAACATTCTAAAAATGGATTAACCAAAACTATATAATTTTTTTATAATTCAGACTTTGCACCGTGATATCCAATTAAGAGCACGTAGTAATAGTTTCAATTTCAATAGTTTCAATTTCAATTTCATAAATGTACATATTCATTTTGATGCAAATACCGAATAATAAAATCGGATAAATTTTGATAAACTTTTCATTGAGTAACTATTATTGAATCGGATAGTATGTGCATTTCTTACCCATACAGCACTGAAGCTTGCAACAACATTGCTGCAACATTGCAATATTGCATATTGCAGTGTAATGTTGCAGAAATATTGCAAAGACATTATTTTACAATATAATTCATGTAAAAAAATTTAATCGCATATCTCAAATTTTCTGAAAGTTACAGCGTGTACAGACATTTCTCAAAAAATTCAAAATTTTATAAAAAATGAACCCTTTCCCCGATACTTACCAAATTCAGTACCTACCATTCTTTAATAATACTCTATTCATGTAAAAAAAATTTAATCCGTTATCTCAAATTTTCCGAAAGTTACAGCGTGTACAGACATTTCTCAAAAAATTCAAAATTTTATAAAAAATGAACCCTTTCACCAGTACTCACCAAATTCAGTACCAATCATCCTTTAATAATATTCTATTCATGTAAAAAAATTTAATCCGATATCTCAAATTTTCTGAAAGTTACAGCGTGTACAGACATTTCTCAAAAAATTCAAAATTTTATAAAAAATAAACCCTTTCATCGATACTCACCAAATTCAGTAGTAACTATCCTTTAATAATATTTTATCCATCTAAAAAAATTTAACCTGATATCTCAAAATTTGCGAAAGTTACAATGCATACAGACATTTCTCAAAAAATTAAAAATTTTATAAAAAATAAATCTTTTCATCGATTCTCACCAAATTCAATACCAACCATCCTTGAATGATACTCTATCCATGTAAAAAAAAAGGTTGTACAAAATATCGCGTACATACACACACACACACACACACACCGCACGTGAAATTAATTTACATTGTTAGAGATTAGGCATATACTTGCATGCATGCATGCATGCATGCATACATACATACATACATACATACATACATACAGACATTTTTTAGGAATATGATTTTTTGACGTTTTGGAACATTCTAAACACGTTGGCATAGAAAACTCGAAAAAAATTTTGTTACAAAAACAAAGCTTCCTCTATGAGGAAGCAAAAAGTATTCAATAATCGCTAGTTCATACGTTTACCGTTATGCGGCGCATGTTGCGCTATCTATTCCGCATTCAATGTTTAGTCACGATGATTATATAAAGTTTACAAAGAGCGGCTAGTAAGATTAAAGATATAATAAATATTTTTATTAGTTTAAGTTGTGTATGATATGACCCCAACACAGGGGACTCAGACATTGGACAAAAAATTGTTTTTTTAATAGTTTCCATTCTTATATAAAATAAAAAATTTGATAATAATTTTCTAATATGCAAGATAGTTCAGATTTTAATAAATAAATTTTGAGATTATATAAAGATAAGAGAGATGTAAAAAAACTCGTTGTATGCGTAAATCCACCACGATTTTTTTGCATCCGGATATCTGAATATTTCGGATACAAAGAGATTATAAATTTACACAATTGCAAATTCAGTTTTTTCTTATTTCTCTTAGATATTCTCTGTCACTGAAGGAAGTCGAATGTGCACGCTTCCCCTACGGGGGGGCTCCGCTTCCGGAAGATATAACCTAACCCAAATCTATTGCTGATTTAAAACTAAAATTTAGTTTGGTTGTGGAGTGAACTTTATAGTACATAATTACCAAATTTTCGGTAATTTCGGGGGTTTTTCGTTTTTTTGGGGGTTGGGGGTGATGGGGGTCGGGCTCCCCCGACTGATTATCACTGTTTGGAGTCACAACAAAGAGTTTTACCAAGAGATCCGATCATATTTCTCAAAATTCAGAAAAAGCCTTATTCAAAACAATTACCATACACTGTTTTAATGTCTACAGGTGTCATATACTGTTTTACAGAAAACGGGTATAATCACAAATAGATTTTATTTGTACTATATTTTAATTTAAAGGTTATGTTTCTGTTAACGTTTATTTTGCAACCAATAACCTGGCGAACTAGTACATTCTGCGCATGCGTTGATTTGCCGCGACGCGTTCAGTGTGCATAACAAAAAAACGCCGTCTCTTTAACTGCCGTCGCGCCGCGTCGTGACGCGACGCGTGACGCGCTCAGTGGGAACGAACCTTTACGTCACTTGTCGCGTTCAATCGCGTCAAATCGCGTTCAGTGTGAATTGACGAAAATAAATTTTCGTAATCTCGTCGCGTATCGCTCATCGCGCATCGCCCATCGCGGGCCATTTACGGTTACAACTAAAATATTTTTTTACGTGCGATGTTCTGCTTTTCTGCCAAGTGAATCCGGCCTAAGGGTGCGAACTCATGCAGCGGAATAGCGTAACGCGGGACGAGTCCGGAGCGCCATCTTGGCATAGTTTGCGTTTAGACGTACTTTTGAGTGCCTCTTGTGAAATTGTCAAATTAGCTTGTTTTTAGACTTTCTAGAGTGCTTTATTCAGTCCTGAGCCGCCTCACTATCGAGTGCCACCTCGGGAATAGTGAAAATCCGGCGTTCAGAAGCTTGCCGTTCTCTTAATTCAACATCTTCGAGTGCGGCTGTGACGACGTCTTTGTTCGTCTTTGTTCGCCATTGTCTGCGGCTTTTGCCGCCAAACTCTCTCAGCTTTCTCGAGAGAATTCCGTCTTTCCTCGCCCCTTCTCTGCTCTCATCTTATATTCTTCCTGACTCTATTTTAAACTTTTTACTCCCCCAGAGGAGGGATCCTCCGGTCTACGCGGGATTGATCCGGAACCTACAAACAAACAAATAAGTAAATAAGTGAGTAATACATCTACTACGACTACTACTACTACAATTACATTTCTCTCTAACAATGGACACGGATACGGATATGGATAAAGAAAACGAGGATCCTCAATTTGAGGCTGCCCTTAGCTCGTTGATTTCAGAAGCTCGTTCGAAGCCCTTTTAATCCATCCAGTAATTACACTCCTTCTTTCACTGTGTCGCTTACCTTTGAGGGCCAGAAGATCCCCAAACACGTTACGATGTTGTCACGCCGCTCTACTAACCTTCCACAAGGTCACCATTCGTCCCATCCTTCATCCCCCGCATATGCCTCCTCCTTCTCCTTCTATGCTCAAGCAGCTAAAAGATTCTCTGATCCCGGTATCAAATTGCTCACTACTACTAATTCCAACTTGACGCGAGAATCAAAAATCAAATCTCTTTCTTTACCTCATCTTAAACCACACTCAGTCGCTCAATCTAGGAACGCGTCCGCTCTCTCTCCCTTGCATAATCCAACCCGCCCCTATGTTTCCTTTTCTGTTCCTCCCTCTACTTCTCGGACTTCTCCTCCTTCACCGCTGGCGACCATGCCACCAAACACTAATTCTAATATATCATCCTTGCAAAATCTTCTCCTCATTATCACCCCTCTTCTACCGCAATTGTCGACATTATTCGCATCTATTAATCTACCTGAACTTATTCCCGCCGTTATTCGAATTTTCCGTGACCTTGATACTAATAGCAATCAAGGCTTCCGTACCAATCTCAGTCATGACCAGCAATTTTCTCAATAACCATCTTTCACTTCTTCAATGGAACTGTCATGGCATTTTAAATAAAAGGGAAATTTTTATTCAAATTACGAACCAACACGACATCCTCGCTTTGTCAGAAACTTGGCTTACACCCGACAAGGGCTTCTTTCTTAATGGCTATCACATATTACGACACGACGGACCTTCGAACAAATCTGGCGGTGTTCTGCTGGCCATAAAAGACACAATTCCTTTTGAGAAAATTGACTCGGTCTTCACTTTAGACGGTGTACTAGAAGCGGTCGGGATGAAAATCCCGACCATGAACAACCATATACATATTATCTCCATCTACAGACACCCTGGACGACATGACTCCTCTATATGGGACAGACTTTTCAATTCCATTCCTGGATCAATGACGGTACCCCAACCTACATCTCATATTTCTCTAGTACCTCCTCTGTCATTGACTTAACCTTCGTATCTTCTGATCTCACGCTTTACTGCACTTGGAAGTCTTTTGATGATACACTTGGTAGTAATCACATACCCGCCATCATCACAATCAGCTATCCAGTCAAAATTCGTACATTCTTCTCGCATAGGCTTCAGACATCAAAAATTAACCATAAAAAACTTTTTGCCTCATTTCTAAGTCATCTTTCCGTTCTCTCTCATAGCCTAGAAGCAGATCACATTTCTCCCGTCAAAAAATATAACATCTTCTGCAGCTTTCTAAAAGACGTCATAATCTCTCTACTTCCCGAACGAAAGTCGAACAACAAATCTTCCTATGCTAACCATCACACCAGGAACAAAAACAATGGAAATAATACACGTCAATCATTCCCACCAGCTCCCTGGTGGAATGAGGATTGTAATATGACTGTGGAACTCAGAAAACAAGCTCTGCGTACATTTCGCAACAATCCTTCACGGTTCAACTATCTTTTCTTGAAAAAACAAGAAGCCTCAACTAAAAAAACTCTCCGACAATCTAAGCGAAAGGGATGGAGAGCCTTCAGCGAATCCATCACCTCCTTTACCAACATCTCGGCACTATGGAAAATGATTAAAAGATTTAAAAACAGATTTCTCAATATCTGCAACGCGCCGCTCACCGCCAATTTCGGTGTCTCCAATGAAATCCAGAACTTAATTAATACCATCTCCCCTCCGTCTTGCCTCCACAAGCTCCCTCCTTCTAGTCTTGAGCGAGATCGTGAGTACTCCTGCCATATATTCGACAATCCTTTTCGCTTAGAGGAGATCCTCCATGTTGTTTCTTCTCTCAAAAAAAGGAAATCATCCCCAGGTATTGATCAGATCGATTATACCATCCTTTCCAATCTACCGGATGAATATTATCCAATATTATCTAGTGTTCCTCATCCCCAAATCAACTCCAGGTAAATTTCGTCCGATCTCTCTTACGTCCTGTTGTCTCAAAATCCTTGAGAAGCTCGTCCTCCTCAGACTTGACTGGTGGATAGAACGATACCAAAAACTTCCGTCCTCGCAATTTGGCTTTCGCAAGTATCGATCCTGTCAAGATAATCTCTCTATCCTTACGACGGAAATCCACACAAGTTTTACTCGAGGTAACGCTACCGCTTGTCTTTTCTTGGATCTGTCTAATGCCTTCGACGACGTTATCCCTTCCATTCTGATCGCAGACTTGGAAGAGCTGGGTTTACCCCCCTGTGTTTGTCGTTTTGTTTATAACCTCATCCATTCGCGCAAACTCCAATTTGTCGTTAACGGTGAGCTCTCGGACGTTTATTTCTCATACAAAGGAGTCCCACAGGGCTCCATTCTTAGCCCCATTCTTTTTAACATCTATGTAGCCAAGCTCAACAAACACATCGGGGAGGAATGTGATCTTGTCCAGTTCGCGGACGACATTGCGATATTTGTAAGTTCTAACAAAATCGAATGTGCCCTCCTGGAATTGGAAAAATCGTGCAACAAAGCTGTTAAATTCCTTGCTTCCAAAGGTCTTTCGGTTTCGCCTTCTAAATCCTCTCTGGTCATATTCACGAAAAAACACATTAACCCCTTAGCATACTCTATTAACGTGGGCAACTTTGTCATCGAATTCTCACCTTTTTGCAAATTTTTAGGGATCCACCTCGATTTCCGCCTCTCTGGAAAAGATCATATCCGTGCTCTCTCTGCTCGTTGCTCCAAATTACTCAATATTCTTAGCATGCTGAGAGGAACATGGTGGGGAGGAGCTCCCCGCTCTCTTTTGAACATCTACAAATCTTTAATCAGAGGTTCTATAGAGTACGGCTGTCTCACCTTTCCGTTCAATAATTTCTCCTCAATGTACAACCTGGAAAAAATTCAATTTTGTGCCATACGCCACTGCTTAGGCCTCAGAAGAACCACTCCGACGAACGTCCTCCTTGCCGAGGCCGGAGGGTCCCCTGAAGCTTAGATTTAATTTTCTTTCCTCTAAATATATTCTAAAGATCTTTTCTCTGGACTCTCATCCGCTCATAGATAAGCTTTACGCGCTTCTCTGGTATTCACGCAGGACACGGAAGGTCAACCCAACCGAAAAATTTCTCCTGTTCAGGTCCTTCTGCAACCTTCTACCCAAGAAACCCTATATAGCCAAATTCGACTACCCAGCCGTATACTCCATCGATTATGAGGCTCTTATCTCTTTTCCCACAATCATTATCACCACCCCATTCGATGTGGAGAAAATAAAAAACGCGCCTATCCCTCAACTTGTCTTCTTTAATATTTACAACCAGCTGCTATCGACCAGTAGGTCCTTTTTTACCGACGGTTCTAAGAACGATTCAGACGACCAGGTAGGTTTCTCCATATACTCTCCTTCTCCTCATTTGCAACTACTATTCGCGTCCTACTCCTTCTCTTCAATCTTTACTGCTGAAGCACTCGCCATACTCCATACATTAGAGTACATCTCAATTAACTCCACCCCCAGATCCGTTATCTTCACCGATTCCCAAAGTGTTACCAAAGCTCTTCTCTCAATTAATCTAGCACATTCATATAACTACATCATCTATGCCATTAAACAAAAACTACATCAGATCAAAACTGCCGGCTTTGAGATCACCATCGTTTGGATCCCGGCACATATGGGCATTCTAGGAAACGAAACAGCAGGCTATCTGGCGAAAAAAGCCATCACCAAAGGTCAATTGTCCCCAAAACAGCTTCCTCACTCTGACTTTTACTCCATTCCTCGGAGGAAATATATAGAAGACTCAAGCAAATTTTTAAAATCTCAAGCTAGACAAAAAGGAGCCAACTACTTTAATTCATTCGAGGAAATCACCCTTAAACCCTGGTTCCACAAGCTTAAACTTAACCGAGAGAGCATCGTTACTTGCTGCAGAATTAGATCTGATCACTACGCTCTTAACCACAGCCTACACCGATGCAATTTAGTTGCAGATCCCTCTTGTCCGTGCGGCGCACCGAGACAAGACGTGGACCACGTTTTTTGGGGTTGCCCTCGCTTCAATGGACCAAGGACAACGCTCTTATCTCAGTTAAGGAAATTCGGAAAAATTCCACCACTCAAGACACAAGACATTCTTAAAAACCCCTTCTCTGGGGTCATTCACGCTCTCCATGCCTTCCTCAAATCCTCCAATCTAAATATATAACGCTATTCTCCCCTCTATTGAATTTCACTCATATTACAACCAGTTGTTGGCCGGAATGTATCGATCCCACTAGGATCGAATGTGGCCATAAAAAAAAAAGGAAAGGAAGGAAAGGGACGAGTCCGTTGCCGCCCACGGACGGGAACGGACGTGTTTAGACACGTTACGCGTGTGTCCTTTGGACTTTATTTTTGAGTTTCTTCCTCTCCTTTAGAGGAATCTTTCCATTTGTTACTCTCATTTGTTACTCCCAACCTGTTTTTGGCCGGATTATACCGATCCAATTAGATCGGATGTGGCCACGATAAGAAAGAAGAAGAAGCGTAACGCGGAACGAGAGCATGGCCAATCGCGAGCGTTCTGCAGTTTTCGCTATGCTCACGATTGTTCCGCTCTTGTTCCGCGTTACGCTTTTCCGCTGCCATGGGTTTGCACCCTAATAATGGCACCCTTACATCTGTCGGCGCGTTCCGTAAATTCGCACAGTGCAGCATACATTTTGCATAAGTTCTCACGTGAAAAGTATTGCTCGTACGAAAAAAACTTATAGAACATCTCTTGTGCAAAATTGTCCACTTTTTAATTTTCTACTCTTATATTTTTTTTGTAAAATCGATATTTAACGAGATATTTGCAAAAGAACGAAATTTGAGCCCTATTTGTTTAATTATTCTTCTTAGCGGCCACTGTACATAGAATGGTAAACTCCTCCCTCCCCCCCGCCCCTTCAATCTTATGCAAAAATGAAGATCTGTGCAAAATTTCAACTTGCTAACATTTTTTCCAAGGTTTCGCTCAATTTTTGTCTAAAGTGACTTAAGCTATTCCTATTTCTAGTCTTCATGGGTGATGAGTGCCTAAACGGTTAGGCTGTGGTACTTTGGGCCAATTTCACCAAGTCCGGTTAGATTAACCGACGGTTAAAATTAGCAGGGTTCTAACTGAAATTATATGAATGCTAATTTTAACCGTCGGTTAATCTAACCGGACTTGGTGAAATTGGCCCTTTGTCCCAGAAGAGGAAATCCATAAAGGAAGGAAGAAGACGGGTGCTTGATGGGTTGCATGAAAAACGCTAGCGTGGTTGGACTCTTTGTAAAAAAAGAAGAATCGGAAAAACTTGGCAAGTAATACCAAGCCATTCCAGATGGTTTTAGAATTGATAGTCGGGCAATGTTAATTGCATCAAACATTTTTATTAATATAATGAGCACATGGAAGTTGATACAGCGACGATGTTACGATTTACTCTCGTATAAATATTCGTTGCTCGTGATACTGGTGGCATTTACTTGCATATTCATCGGCATAGTACATTTCGGCGAGGTTAGAACGATTATTTTTTTATGCATAATGGATTTGTGCAGATCATAAGAATTAGTATTTTAAAATCTTTCTTAGTTTTTTAGTTCTAAAATGTTTTGTTACTTTTTTCTTTATAGTACATCTTTTCTTTAGTACTCTATAATATTATTTACACATATATATAATATATATAAAAGAAATATGTATGTATATCAATGTCTTGTGTGTTGAGATATTTGATGAATTTTAATTGATATCTTGCGTTAGGTATGGTTAACATGGAGCAAGGAAAAATACGAGGCAGTGTTTCATTCTTTCAACGACAATATCTTAGGAAAATCTTTCCAAAAGAAATTGTGCCAACATGTCCCTATAGATGTGGTTTATACATGGGTAAATGGCTCCGATCCGGTGTTCTTAGAAAATCTTCAGAAGCACGTCCCCATTGTGGATCTTAGCGCTGCAGCATCGAGATTCAGTGATAAAGATGAATTACGCTATTCGTTGCGATCATTGGAAATGTATGCACCCTGGGTGAGGCATGTTTACATCGTTACCAATGGTCAAATACCAAGTTGGCTTGATATGGATAATCCTCGGATGACCCTAGTCAGTCATGAAGATATTTTTTTAAATAAAAGTGATTTACCAACTTTTTCTAGTCCTGCTATTGAAAGTCATATTCATAGGTGCTTGGAAATATGTATGAATCCACATTATTACATAATGAAATATGCACAATATGCAACAACATTTTTGCGTTCTTTCAGAATACCTGGAATCTCTGATAAATTTTTATATTTTAACGATGACGTAATGTTAGGTACTGAGGTATGGCCGGAAGATTTTATAACTCAAGCAGGTGGACATAAAGTATATCTAGCATGGTGGGTTCCGGATTGCTCTGAAGTATGTCCTTGGGCATGGGTTGGCGATGGATCTTGTGATCATGCTTGTAATACTACATTATGCGAATTTGATGGTGATTAAATAATTTTATAACAATACTGTATGTGTTGTGCATGTGATATAAATGTGTTATTTATATAAATATAATATATACTATTTATATATAATAAATAATTGTTCTGACAATAATTGAATGTAGGTGGAGATTGTCAAACAAGCACTGTCCCTATTGACAGTGAGACTGTGAAAGAAAAAGGCGATTATTTATATAAATATTTGGAAGATTCTCGTGAAAACAATAATAATGGGTTAAATAATATTTTGCATAATAAAAATGTCGTTGATTTGTCATGGAATGATATACCAGTGTCCACAGTTCAAACATTGCCTTTGTATAATCTTAATACTTTTAAGCCCATTTACACACTTGACAATCTCAAAAATAATAGTAATGTGGAATTGAATATGCAAAGTAATGCATACGTAAAATTTGACAATAGAGAAAACTATCAATCTGCAAAAGATGTCCTTCAGCCTATATATTCTAAATTTTTACAAAAAAATCCTATAAGCAAAACTGCTAATCATATTGAACAATTAAGACGCTACCGTAATGACATAAATCTTGCACCATCTAACAGTTCTATTAAGTTTGGTAAATTCTCATATTCCAATCAATGGAAACACAATACACGAGGACTTGATACTTACGCGGAATCTTTACTGTATGTTAACAAGATATATAATATCGCCTATGGTCTCGAACGAAGAAGAGTACCAGCGCATATGCCACATTTAATAGATAAATGGATTGTAAATGACATGCAAGAGAAATTCAAGTTTGAATTTAAGAAAACGTCTAATCATAAATTGAGAGATTCCGAAGACATGCAATTCGCATTTTCTTATTTCTATTTTTTGTCCAGTGAAAAACGGAAAGTACCCATCGAGGAGATATTTGATATGTTTGATACTGACAAATCACGGTAAGAAACAGCGAGCCACACCTAGTAATTAATAAAGTTATTATTAAGATTACAAATCAATCAATGTTTTTAGAACTTGGTCAGATAGAGAAATAAGAACGCTTTTATCAAGATTATACCCATTACCACTAGATTACAATCTAGTCATGGAATTTGAAAACGCGATAACGAATTGCTCTCATGATATAATTTTATCACAAATTATTGATGTCCCGCCTGGAGAAAGATATCTAGATTCTACCCTCGTAAGTATGGAGCATTTTATAAAATAATAATTGCGCGATATTGTGAGCGTGATATAGCAAATAAAATTGCATTTTTTTCTATTCTTTACAGCCGGTGGTTTCTAAAGAATTAATATTAAATTGTGAATCGGTGTCTAAAAAAATGCAATCGAAATTCGGCGAAAGTAGCCGGTATCCGCATGAAATAATCAAAGCCGGAAAAAATGAAATTTTTGAGATGTTGATCAGCAATGTTTCTTTAACGGTACAATTGCTCGATGAAATTCGAAGAGAACCCAAGTATGTATATCTCACTATATTGTAATGTTGCAAAATAATACATATGATATATTACATTTTTATATCATATAGATAACTTGTGTTATATTATTTGTTACTTCCACGTTATATTACTGCAACAAACAGTGTTTACTGACAAGGGATACTATAAAAAGGTCCTCTCTGGTTTGGAGAAATCTGTATATTTTTGAATAGTACTCCTCGAGAGCTTTACAATGGTATATAACAAATGCTCTAAACGTGACCTTGACCTGCAAAAATTCGGCCAAAGTTCAAAATTTGCAGAAAATTTTCAACATTGGAGGCTTTGTCAAACTTTTGCAACGAATATCTTTTGATACAAAGAGGTTTCTTCAACTAGGTCCTAATGATTTGAACAATAGTATTTATTTAATCCATAATCAGATATCTTCACCAAGATTTTCTCCTATGATAAAATACATTTGAAATTAAACGATACCATTTGAGTCTGTCACACAGATATGTTTTAAATTTAAAAAAAATCGTTCAATTTTAATTTGTTAGCTGAAGTAACCTCTTTCTATCGAAAGATATTCGCTGCAGAAATTTGACAAAGCCTTCAATGTTGAAAATTTTCTGCAAATTTTGAACTTTGGCTGAATTTTTGGAGATCAAGATCACGTTTGGAGAGCGCATGTCATATACCATTGTAAAGTACTTGAGGAGTACTAACCAAAAATATAAAGGTTTCTCCAAACCAAAGGAGACATTTTATTCTGTAATATCCCTTGTGAGTATATACATATATATATTTTTGTTAAATATATAAAGAAAAATGATCTTTATATACATTATTATTACTTTCAGAAAGTTTATTTGCTTGAATGATGATATGGACGCCATTCGGCGTTCTGAGAACGAAATCATTCGTGCCTTATTGAATGATTTCTATCGTTCGTTATATCCGTTGCGAAGTAGTTTTGAATTGCCGGCGCAGTATCGAAATCGTTTCTCTCATAGGCATGAGCTTCTCGAGTGGCGGGCGAATCGTGCAAAAGCTAGAAATTTATTATTATGCCTTGTGATGTTGCTTCTTACCCTTATATTTTATCACATATTTTACCATCATATACGTAGATTATGCAGAACTCGAGAGTTATCTACATTTCTTGTGTAAAAAATTAATAATAAATCTAAACTATATGCGAATGTAAAGTTTTATAATGGAATTGATAATTGTATATATATTATATAATTAAAAGATTAATATTTGTGGGAAGATTAGTACATGGTAAGAACTTCCAATTTGATATTTTTTAAAACTAAATAACTATATTTCTCTGTGATATAGAATAAACATTTTTTATATAATTACATTTTAGAATAAAAACCAAAACTGAATATGTAAACAAAAAACGTAAATAATAAATGTATCTGAAGATTGAAAACCTGCCACTTATATATATGTACATCATTTTTCTTGTTACAGTTGCATTCTCCATATCTATTGTTATGAAAATATGAAATAATGGATACACAAGACTACAATTATTCATGCAAAGATGGACAATTTATGTGTCGGATATTTCGCGGTCCAACCATACCCTCTTGAAGTTTTGCGCACTCGTGCATCCATGTCGCTACGTTTACGATTCGTTCAGCTGGCAAATGAGGTCCTATACCTACATTTCAATTTCGCATCAAGATAAATTTCGATAAGCCAGTAGAGATATATACCTATAAAGACGAAAAACTACCTGGTACATTTAAATGGCATGTAATTTCTCCAATTTTTTCAACTTCAAAAAATGGACTTCCATCGCTATTGGCGTCATCAGTTTCACAGAATTTCTTATCAATTGTATCATCTTCATTCTTTGTACGATCATTGCTAATCAAATCGTCGTTTTTTCGACTAGCCAAAGATTCAGTCTTCTTTTCTTCATAATTAGTAAGTTCCCTTTCGAACGAACTATTCATCATTAGTTCTGTCGATAAATCGGCTACAAAAAAAGTATTTGGATATATAAATTAAACTATGACAAAATAGAAGGAGCTCATAGTCGATAATATTCATACTTTTCGATGAGACAATTTCATCCTTGATCATTAATTCCGAATCCAAATTAACGTCCACGTCGGTATCTTGACTATTTATGGAGCAAGTACGATCGACAGAACTATTTTTACACGCGAAACGCTCTGTCACATCTTGATCGCATGTACTTTTCTCGCTACCGTCGCAAGCGAGTCCTGCTAAATATCTAATGTTCGTTTCGAACATTATTCAAATGATCGCATATTAAATTATAATAGCTAGAATCGGAGATAAAGTTGGTACGCTGCCGCGATAAATTCTTACTTATATGTCTCCATAAATAAAATAAGCGGTATCATCGCGGATCCTCCGTCCGGTTCGTGGGTGAACAATTGACAAATCATAATCATTGTCTCTGTGAGATTAGCTCCAAGAAGGCCCACCGCTATAGCAAGAAATTTTTTCACTTGACACGTGCGTTGAAATTTTCCGATCGCTACGATCGCGTCGAAGTCTTTTCGATCCAAGCAGAGACAATCCCAACGATGCGAAACTATCTCGATGGGTAGCGTCTTATTGTAATCTTAAAGAATTAAAAATTAATAAAGTCTTAGGGTAATTATTCAATTTAGCGGCCTCACCTCAAATATCGATAAAATTATGCTCATTCGATGCGTTTTTGCACAAAACGGAAGAATATAGCAGAGAAAAATGTCGCTTTGCCCCGCAAAGTGAGATATTAATAGTTAAAGTTAACGACTATTTAAATTACAAAACCTGTCATACTAACGAAATGCAGCGACATGCGCATGTTCTATGGCCATATGCGCATGTCGCTTAGTGTGACAGGTTTTGTAACCTATAAATAGTCGTCAACTTTAACTATTAATATCTCACTTCGCGGGGCAAAGCGACATTTTTCTCTGCTATATTCTTCCGTTTTGTGCAAAAACGCATCGAATGAGCATAATTTTATCGATATTTGAGGTGAGGCCGCTAAATTGAATAATTACCCTAAGACTTTATTAATTTTTAATTCTTTAAGATTACAATAAGACGCTAAGTCTTTTAAGATTATTTGTTTCTTTTAATGAGTTTTTATTACTAAATTAATAAATATCCTATATTTATATAACAATTAATACATCTCTCATAGCAGTCACATTATTTTCAAAATTGAGAAAGATGTATACATAATAGTGTCCCAAAACTATCGATTGTCTTTCTAATAACAGATTCTTTGACCAATTTAGAGACAATTTTTCCTCGACGAAAATGGTCGAAAAAGATCATCACTTTCGGCAAGTTTCCAATGTTTACCATCATGCATCTTTATTATTAAACCTTAAATTAAAATTCTATTAAAGTAAACTTCACCTGAAATTAACTCTAAAGAATGTAATATTTTATCTCCATAAAATCTAGTCTGCTAGAAGCCCTTCTTTTTCAATCGCTTATAACTCGAAAATTAAATTTGCCTTGACGATTTCGCTGAGAAAAAAAATCGTCTCCAAATTAATCAAAGAATTCGTTATTAAAAAAATATCCGGTATATAAAATTATCTGGATACGCCTTGCGTGAAACTCGCATATCGTACTTCCAAATTGTCGAAGCAGTACTCTGAGAAATCCCATCGTTAAGCCAGAGATTGTACTTGGCGGTGGATACTCAAATCGCGGTTTGACCGGCGGCTCCTCGCCATCAGCCAGTGCGCGAAAGTACGAACCGGACCACTTGAGAAGATCATGGGGCTGCGTGCGTATCGCGGCTTTACAAAATTGCTTCAGGATCATTGGCAACTTGGCTGGCACCGCGATTTCGCGTTCGAATAGCGGTTGCTCGACGAAGGACGACATCTTTACATATACGCGATAACGTTGTTCGAAATGCGTTTATTGTTGTGCTACCGCGGGTATTCTCGTCGTCCAGGAAACGTCGATGACGGCTTTGCGTCAAAAGTACAAATACCTAAGGCATTCTATAACTATGGTGATACAACTGCGGGAAAATAATAATCTTGCATGAAAAAAAAGACAAAAGTATAAAATAAAATTTTTTTGCGTATGATGTGTTCTACTTTTCTGCACCGCGATTTTGTGTTCTACTTTTTTTTAAACTTGAATAAGTTTTAAAATTTTGCGCGATAGATCATCTACCCAGGCTGCGTTCATTCACGGTACGATTTTGCATACTAGATCGCATGCGAGACATTTTACTAACAATTATAATGGCTATGCAACTTGAAATATTATGTGCTGCGTGTTGCTGGTTGCTGTGCGTGCTAGCATGCTAGTTTTTGGTAATAGCCCTGCCGAAAATGGACGATTAAAA